CCGCTTTTCTTTGAAAAAAAAAAGGTAGGCTGATTTCACAAGAAAAAAAAAAGAGGGGGGGGGGTATGGTCTAAGGGGCTCCTTTTTGGGTTATAGAGAACAAAACTAATGAATGATATGATATGTGGCGTTTTAACGTGCCAAAATCACCATATGATTATGAGAGACGCTGTATAGTGGAGTGCTCCGGAAATTTCGACTTCCTGGGGTTCTTTATCGTGCGCCCAATTCTGAGCACATGGGCCTACAGCATTTCCGCCTCCGTTATCATAAATAATGAAGCCGAGAGATAATTAAACTGAGCAAAGCGTAGAAACTTTTTTGGTTTCACAAAAAGGAGCTGAAAAAAAAAAACTGCGCAAGAAAATGGGTGAATGGTATTTTGGAGGCGCTGTGTTTCGAGTGCCTTCGAGTGTGCTGTGGAGGCGAACGAGCGCATCAAGTCACGTCACGCGTGAGACATGAGTGCCACCTGGCAGTCTTCTTGCAAAATGAAGCGCTTGACATTGAGACGGGTGTGCGCGCCCGTCTCAGAGGTGATAAGGTGACAAACGCAAGCTGACGGGTAGGTGCCACCATCATCTCCTCTTAGCAAAGCGTTGGAAACACTCACCTTTTCGTGCAAGCGTTGCATGGTCAGCGCAGTGTGATAAGCGCTACGGTCCTTAAAATTACTTATGTATGCATTTTCTAGTAAAAGATACACATGCAGAATATATATGTATTGTTATGGTGCCGCAGACTTGCGCAATAATTGCTCATTAATTGACAATTGCACAAGTATGAATGCTAAACCTTGAGCAACATTGGTGGGCGCTGCGGATGGGGTCAGGCCGTTCCAAGTACCCGGTGCCGTTAGAGTGGACAAACAGACAAATGTACAGACAGACAGACAGACAGACAGACAGACAGACAGACAGACAGACAGACAGACAGACAGACAGACAGACAGACAGACAGACAGACAGACAGACAACAGACAGACAGACAGACAGACCAAAGTATTTGCGTCGGAGGTCCCCAAGAAAGACTATCGTCTTTAAAATCGCCTTTGCCGTTGGTAGGCCTGATCGGCATCCACAGCCCGAGAAATGGGCGCCCTTATGTCATATGAGCTGCGACTGAAGACGTTTCTACGTCTACTGTCGTGTAGGGTATTTACGTGCGATAAGTACCTGGCGTTGTTAGCCAGTGCCGCTCGCGGAACACGGAAAATTCACGGGTCATACAGCGTTCATAAGAAGTCGCAGTAACGCTAAGCCACCATAGTAGCGCTCTCACTCTATTTGATTACTTGGGTTGGTGAGACAGCATGTATTCGCAGAGATTCCGACCTATTCAACAGCAGTGGTGCAAAAACATAGAGGGCAGGCAAGAACGAAATAAACCGTGGTCAGCGCAAGCGCGTTATTTCAGGGTGAATAAGCGCGCCTTCGAACCACTGCAAAACCGGTCGGCACGCCGTCTCAGAGGTCACGTCTGAACCCCTCGAGTTTTCACAAGTGTCGTGGGATGGCGCAACATGTTCGTAGTCAACTCGAGCTTCGTCGAGTAATGGGCGATTCAGATGTGAAGCGGCGCCTTATGAAGTTATAACTACCCCTGTTATTCTAAAGTGCCGTTAGAGAGAGAGAGATGAAATACTTTACTTCTGCTTGTCAGAAAGAACGAAAGAAACATTGACGTAATTGAGTAGAGCTACATGGTAAGCTACTCTTGAGAACGGACACTGCAAGGCAACTACAATCATTTGCTCGCCGTATAACCTACCTACCATGGAATACGCCTGGTGTCTCCGACACGCGCCTGTATTCGATCGACCAAACTTGCAACTTAGTATGCCATTCGGGCTGCCGCGAAACATTGCTGGGTCGCATGAGGTTGGGCGTGGCATTTACGAATGCGATTGCTTGTCTCCTCGGAATGGCGAGCAGTTCGGCATGCAATATTTGCGCCTGCGAGGAGACGCTTGAGCACGTTCTATGCCACTGCCCAGCATAACAGTCTGAAGGACGTATTATGGAAGCCAAGCTTCGTGAGCTGGATTCACGACCGCTTACAGAGAAGAAGATCCTGGGACCTTGGCCAACGGCTTCCCATACGCGCAAAGCCACGAAAGCCCCCTTGTGCATTTAATATAGCCATGCTTCATCTTCCCCCCAAATTGGCTTCTTTACCAGGGATACATCACGCTCTTTGCGCGGATGATATCACGATCTGGGCCACGCAAGGTAACCTGGGTCACATGGAGTCATGCCTGCAAGCAGCAGCGACTGTAGTCGACGACTACGCAACCTACTGCGGACTCCAGTGTGCCCCGGCTAAGTCAGAATTTGTGCACGTACGTCCCTCCCCTCAGGACACAACTCAGCTCCATATCAGTCTTCCCTCGGGACCGATCCGTGAGGCCAAGGAGATCCGCGTCCTTGGCCTCTTCATACACCACCAACGCAAGGCCGACACCACAATAGCCAAACTTCGCACGGTGGGAGACCAGGTGGGCCGTATGGTCCGCCGGGTCTCCAACAAGCGGGGCGGATTACGAAGCAGGGATGCAATGCGGCTTGCCCATGCTTTCGTAACGAGTAGAATACTCTACTCGACTCCCTACTTGCACCTACGCAAACACGAGGATGATCAACTCGAGGTCATCCACCGTAAAGTTATCAAGCGGGCTCTCGACCTCCCTATCACCACGTCCAACCAGAGACTTCTGGCCCTAGGCGTGGTGAATACCTACCGGGAACTTCGAGAAGCCCACCTCGTTAACCAATACACGCGCCTTGCACAGACCCATTCCGGTCGCCGCCTCTTGGACCGAATACAGATCAAACACGATTACTATATTGAGGAAAGGGTGAGAGTGCCAGAACCTTGGAGACGCGCCCTCCGGGTCCGACCCCTTCCCCGCAACATGTCCAAAGAAAACCACAGTGGTCGCCGCCAGGCGCGCGCGGAAGCGTTGCAGCGACACTTTGGTCAAGAGGAACACGTGTGCTACGTGGACGTTGCCGGCCCGCACCATGGGGGGTGGTATACTGCCGCAGTCATACACAACGCAAACACCGTAAACGGGCTCACTTTCAAAGCCTACAGCGCAACACACGCGGAGGAGGTTGCCATCGCTCTGGCTCTCACCTATCCCTCTTCTAAACATATCATCACCGACTCACGAGGGGCCTGTCGGAACTATCAGCTAGGGTGGGCTTCACCGCTTGCTCAGCGCATACTGGAACCTAGCTGCCGATACGTTAATCCAACTCCGCGAAATCTGGTTTGGGCACCCGGTCACCAAGGACTCAGGGGTAACGAACAGGCCGATCAGGCCGCCCGCGCACTCTCTTCCCGGGCTATCTCCCTGTCTTTGGAAGCCTACTCGCAATCAGACAATTCGGCCCTTTCATTCAAAGATATTACCAATTACTACAAGGAGGAACACCGGCGCTATCCAGACCCTTGTAAGGGACTGCATCGCGCTGACGAGCGCCTCCTTTTAAAACTGTTTACCAATACTGTACTGTGCCCGGCGGTGCTAAAACATTTCAATTCATCCTTTGATGGCACGTGCCAGTTCTGTGGTGAGGTGGCTGACACCTTTCACATCGTCTGGGCGTGCCAGTCTAATCCATCTATCCCCCCCCCCCCAACCCCAATCCCACGAGAGAGGACTGGGAGGCGGCCCTGCTCGGCTGTCAAGACCTGAAGGCCCAAGAGGCTCTGGTTCAACGTGCGCGGGCGGCGTTGCTTGCCAATGGAGCCCCGGAATAGGGGTTCCACCTAGTGCTGTGAGGGTAGGAGGCCAATAAGGCCCCAACCCAATCACCTCTCTGTAACCATTTAATGGTTATTAAATGTTTTCACCACCACCACCACCCCCTTGTGCTTTTTAAGGACCACCGGACTTCACGAGGGCTTGTGAAAGAACAGTGTGAGACCATGCTTAGTAGTCTTGAGCTCACTATTCATTCATTTCTTTCTTACCCCTCTTCTTTTCTACCTCTTCTCTTTCTATTATTCCTTCTTTGCCTCACCCCAAGTGTAGGTTAGCCAACCGAGGCAAGCTTGGTTAACCTCCTTGTCTTCCCTCTCTATTTCTCTCTCCCTCTCTCACCCTACAAGTTTAGTTGAGTCAACCCTACACAAACCAAAAAAACCAGAGACGGGACATCAAGCGCCAACCACAAACCTCTTTCTATCTTCCTGACTTCTGCTTTTTAGTCTGTAAAACATTTGCGCAACTTTTGCGATGAAACTTCGCTTTCATTCCTACGCTGCATTTCTTTTGCTCACGCGATAACACCAAAGAGAGTCGCGTTAAATCCAACCCTGTTCCTTATCACAGAAGGTATGTGGGCCCCTCTAACAGCCAGAAGACCTTGGAAGAACAGCATTGCTTTTCAACGGATGTACTGATCGATGGGCCTCCACGTACATGAACGTTCTAACGCAAATATTAAATGTCCCGCTACGCAACACAGTGCGACACTATGGCTATCAGTGGGTTTCCTTTACAAAACAAATAAAATGTGAAGTTATGTATCACCCTGATATCTTTGAAAAGAAACATTATTTTGATATTTAACTTATGTAATGTTTAAATTTATGCCTCAAACAACAATGCACTTCTGAGCACACATAGGTATTATTGTATGAAACTCTATGCCTGAGCACAAATTGCAGCTCTCAGAGGCTACGCTTTTTGGGCCTTAACAGCCGGCACAGTCGACTTGGGCAAACTAAGAACTAAATAGAAATTTTTCCACATGACTTCACACTTGGCTTGCCCTTTACGTCGCACAGTCATAGCATGAACAACCTTGAGGTGCGTGTAAAATCAACGAAAACATCGTGAAGTCATGCAAAAGTGACGCTTTCTGCCGTAAAACGTTGCTTCTCGCAAATGACTAGAGATGGCGGCAGCAAACTGCGCATTCCATTCGTAGCGAGCGCAGCAAGCGCCTCCAGCGGCACATTTGCTGGCCCCGCGCGACTGGATTTTTGCCGTCAGCAGCTGGTCGACCCGCGAGCCTAGCCGATCCGGCGGTGAATCCGCGTCGCTCGTGTTGTGCGTGAGTGTGTGTGGTGAAGGTGTGCGTGTGCGCGTGAGCACCGAGTCTCGCCGTCGCGACCGTCCCCTGCAACTCCTGCGCGTTGCAACCTGTTGCATTGTGCGTGCCATCCCCAGCGCGCGCGTGCGTGTGTGCGACACTGCCCGTACCCGAACATCAGCTGGGCAGCACTCGTGAATCTGCCGCCCCCGAATCGCTATCCATGTCGGCAGTTGCGCTGTCTCCCGATGCGCCGGCTATCCGGCTGTGCCATGTCGTTAAGTGGCCTGACTACGAGGGTTTCGGCTTCAACCTGCACAGCGAAAAGTCCAAACCTGGCCAGTACTTGGGCAAGATCGACGAAGGCAGCCCCGCGCAGCTGGCCGGCTTGCGCGAGGGCGACCGCATCGTCGAGGTGAACGGCATCAACATTTCGAACGAGAACCACAAGCAGGTGGTCGAGCGCATCAAGGCGGTGCCCAACGAAACCAAGCTGCTCGTGGTCGACCCCCTGGCCGACGCGTGGTACAAGGAGCACAAGATTATCGTCAAGAGCAGTCTGCCCACGGTCAAGCAGTGCCAAAACCCGGTGCCCAGACCCGGCAAGGTAAGCTGAGCTGCCTCTGCTTGACTGCGTTTCCACACGGGTGGATTTCCGCACGGAAAGTTCTTAATCGTGAATTGGGGAGTCGCAGATCCGCCGTTGGGGTTAGGGGGGACTTTGCCAGACTATGATAATAGTTCGCAGTGTCTACATTTATTTATCTAGCAGTATCTGGTACTCGGGCGCTCTGGTTAGGTCTGTACGGTGGTTGCCTTATCCTCCCTAAACCACCCTGAGCCGGCCGCTCTGACGTCCATAGTGTGCAATTAATAGATCCTTAAGCAGCGCTTCGCGATAATTCGAGCATCGCAAAGCCTGCGAGGGTCATTCGCCCAGTTATCGAATGGAGGAACGCTGCCATAGTAAGTAGTCTAAAGCTGTGCGCGGCCCGCATTGTGGGGACGTCGCTGTCGGGTTCGTTTTCGACGTCGTTCTGGGCGACCGTGTTTTAAAAGTGGTCTGTTTTTTTTTTTTAAGTCTTTTTTGTGTTCTTTTACTTTGCGGCTGTCATGACACGATTCGGTACGGCGGTCGCCCGTTGCTCGGAGAGGGACCTGACGTTGCAATCCGGTCTGGCGTAGCGAAACAACCAGTCGGTGTAGCCGAACGAGATCTGGCTGCCGTCCGGGCGAGCGCGCTGTGTTTATTTACACGGCCCAGCGTGTGTCCGACTCCACGGCTCTTTTCTCCTAGTGAACTCCGGCGAGAGGTGAAGGACGGGTCAACCCCCCGCTTCGTTCGTTTTTATTTTTTTTTTCATTAATATTCTCGATCATTTTTCTTAGCGCTACATTCCTGGAAGACGCGCACCTGTTTTTGAGCGAGTGCGTTTTAAGTTTCGGTTAGCGCGGTCGCTCGCTCCTGGGCGTACCTTCTGCGCCTTTGCAGGTGCGCGCTTCGCGATGTGGTTTTCTCGAGCGCTGCTAAGCGTGTCATGTGTAAATAGACTACCGTCTTGGTGTACTGGTGTATCTTTGATAAGAATCATGCTCAAAGATGATGGGATAATAGTAACGCTAACCGCTGAAAATGCTCCGCTTCTCAGCTGCATATAGTAGGCATGTCGACGCAATCACGTGATCCCAGATATTCAAAATCTGACGTCATCAGTTATTAATCGGAAAGCTTGAGTTATTCAAGGGACACCGAAGAAAAAGAACAACGATTTGTTGCACATTCGTAAATCGCTCTTTTACATTTACGAAATTATCACCCTTGCCACGAGAACACACTAGGTTGAAAGCACTAAAATAAGATGGTTTTGGTGACGCTACCATGAAATTCCCGCAACCAAGCTCCGTGACGTCTTAGATCATAGATTTGTACGGCGTCTACTAAGGTCGTACGTCAATCCTAATCAGTAAAGTTAAAAGGCGTTGTCCCCAGAGGGCGATTTAGATTTAACACACATAAGTTTCAGTAAGTTCCGTAGAGCCAGTGTCGCTAAACTACGAAAAAAAAAAAAGTGCACTTTGAAATTCGTGACGTCACACGCGGCGATTTCGGAGCGAAGTTTAAAATGAAACTCTGATCTTGATATTCTGCTCCGTTAATAATGCTATGGTAACGAACCTAACAACGTGAGACTCCCGATAGTAAGGTTTACTATCCTAAACCGATTCGCTGTTTTGATTTTAGTGTATTTTGCAACGTTGCTCCAGTTGTGCACCAGCGAGCGTTCGGCGTTGCATCGCCCATCGTCTACTACCGCATTTGCTCGATTGATAACATCACTGCTGATCGTAACGCAAGTACTGACTTTTCGCTGCGTACGTGGCGAAGAAATCGCTGCTGCTGGTATTCGTCCGTAGCGCGACTGGCCGACTTTAGGTAACGAAAATTTGAAAAAAAAAAAAAAACAAAAGGCGTTACAATTCGGTCAACTACTTCTTCGCAAAGTTTTCTTAGACAGCGGAAGAAACAGATACGGACGGGCGCTAGCTTCCAACTGAACATTATTATCGAAACTAGGCTTGTATACGATATATTGATATATAGGGTTTAACATCCCAAAACCACTATATGATTATGAGAGGCGCTGTAATGGAGGGCTCGGAAATTTCGACCACCTGGGTTTCTTTAACGTGCTCCTAAGTCTGAGCACACGGGCCCACAACATTTCCGCCTCCATCGGAAATGCAGCCGCCGCAGCCGGGATTCGAACCCGCCACCTGCGGGTCAGCAGCCGAGTACCTTAGCCACTAGACCACCGTGGCGGGGCTGTATACGATATATGTAAGTCTGACAAAACTAAAACACCAATGACACATGTGCGGAATGTGACGGCGTGCATTCAGCTACTCCCTCTCCCAGATGTATACATAGTTCTCCTTCCGAGAAGGCAATTTTCTTCTCTGTCAATGAAATTGACGTCATACTCACGTCCTGCGTGAGGATGGCATCAGTTGGTTGACGTAGAGTAAATTAGTGGTTGATCGTGGAGTACCCACCGTAGCTCGAACCCAGACCTTGTTAAGTTACGGCCCAGTAAATACGGTATATGAATCTGCCTGTCGTTCAGCCTTCGTTTCGTGGCATTGAACTGTAGCGGTGGCGATGCGTATGGCCTCCCAACAGCTACGTGCTCAAACGGCAGGAAGTATCTTCTGGCAGAAGAATCAACGAACAAAAAAGATGAGCAAAAAACATGGCGCGAAGGCCTTGTTGAGAACAGAGTCGTCATTCGCGGGTGATTCACTCTTGCCGCTAAATTCCTGCCTGGCGGGAAAGCAGGAACTTGTCGAGACCCGCCGCAGAAGTGTTCTTGCTCATCAGGGGGTGGGGTATAAATAAAAAGCCTTGTTTTACCGCCCCCCCCCCTTTTTTTTTTCTTTTCTGACGTTTTCCCGGCTGCGATGAAAGAAGAGCTATGTCTCTAGATATCGCAGCTGGCGTGCGTTGTCCTGCTCTCTGCTAGGTTCACCCCCCCCCCCCCCCCCCGCTTTTTTTTTTGGAAAGGATGATAGAGATGGGCAGTAGAGAGTCAAGGACATCAGTCGTTACACACTTAGGCAGTCTATTGGGAAAATGTGACAATTTATCGGGTATTATTTCGTGGACTATGCGGGTTGGCATTAGAAGGAAAGAGGCTACACAGCGATGCGATGTGGCACCGAATGTCCTGTAGTTTTTAATTTGCATACAAGGAGTGAGCTCAGACTGCGTGCGTCGCTAAAGAATTAGTCTATCGAACTATTCCCTTTTTATTAATTTTTCTTTCGTGTGCTCTGAAAACTAAGTGGCATTTGGCGTGAGTCTTGTTAGGCATTCTATGGGCTGCACGCATTAGTCGCGGTGCTATACCGCTTCGTGTTGCAACTATTGGGTGCATAAGCCGAGTTACTGCCGTAATGACAGTTGTGTAACACGTTCAATCCCGTGCCAGTAATAGAGTTTGTCAAAAAAAAATAAAAACAAAACAAAAAAGCAGCTTAATTAGGACACAGCTTGGGTTGCTGTTCGTAGTGACCAGTACGTGTCTTCGGTAGGCCAATCGCAGAGACGAGTGTATAAACAGCTTGCACATGACGTCATTGATGCGCAACATGGCGACTTACGGATGACGTGGATCACGGGGCGATTAACCTGCTTCAATGCGACAACGACGTCGCGGGAACGTTATTTGGCGCCTCTGTGCGTGTTTACCAAAAGAACCAGCCTGCCATGAACTGATAACGCCTACGTGGCATCACGATTTTCCCGTCCTACTAAGTTGGTTTTCTTATAGAATGTATGCACTGAGCCTTTGGTCCGCAAGAGGGCAACACCATCGCCGCGCCATTTTGAAGGTCCGCACGTACGCGCCGTCCTGCTGTCCATGTTTCGGCGTGCAGAAAGTGTTTGAGATGTCTCTAAGCATCCAAGTTGTTGTGCTGATTTGGAGCACACCGCGTGCAGCGAATTTTCTGTGCGTGCGGACCTTCAAAATAGCGACCACGACGCTTGCGATCCTCGCGGATGGCGACAAGTGCGTACCCCCGCCTATACGTGGCGGCTTAAGTGACCTCAGTGCCAGCTATCTAGAGTTAGATGAAGGTGTATGTTTGAACAATCTCAGAGAGTCCAAAGGAATCCAGACTGGCCCACTACAGCGTGAGTTGCATATCTCGGTGTTCTTGCGCTCGAAAACGAAGAACTCAAAAAAGTGTTTGCGCTGATCGCGTTTTATATATGAAGTTTGAAAGACTACAACGTTCGTTGATTTGACGCAGTATATTTCATAACGCTACGTCCGGTGTATGAGACTTTGACATTCTATACTCCGCGACAACTTTTCTTCTCAGTACTGTGAAATGTATACAGAAATGGAACGTATGCCTGCTGTCGCGTAAAAAGAAGTAGTACTATAGTATACTGCCGGTGCTGTGGCACTCACCCTGCTACGCTTCCGCACATGCTGTGGAAGTGCCCGGCACAGTACAGACACACTAACGCCACGACCCTTTCGTCGAAGCTCCATGAGGCTCTGCGGAGCCCCGCTCTTCACGACCAAACCGGGGAGACCCAGCACGCCCATGAGGCGGCGTCGAGGCAAGCCCTTGACGTCCCCTCGTGGGAGGCCTAGGCCCGGCCACCTAAACCTGCTGGTTTTTTTTATAATAAAGTTTATTCCTCCTCCTGCTAAGTAAAGCGATAATTTTCTCACTTGCTTTACTGCCCCGCCGCGGTGGTCGAGTGGCTAACGTAGACGGCTGCTGAACCGCAGGTCGCAGGATCTGTATCCTGGCTGCGGCGGCTGCCCTTTCGATAGAGGCGAAAATGCTCAGATTTGGGTGCACGTTAAAGAACTCCGGGTGGTCGCGATTTCCGGAGTTCTCCACTACGGCGTCTCACATGATCATATGGTGGTTTTCGGACGTTAAACTTCACAAATCAATCAATCAATAAATCAACCAATCAATGAACCAATCAGTAAGTTGTCTTACTGAAATAAATGCTACTGCGTTTATTATGGCACTTAGACAATTGCGGGAACTCTTAAGCACTGATTACCCACTTTCCAT